TAATTTGCCCAAGATGTAGCACAGGAACCCCAAAAAAGGGCTTAACGTTACTTCTGAAACCCTACTAAAATTAAGAAAGACAAGCACGAGCTGCATGGCTTTCTAGCGCATCCGCAACGGCACAACACTGCATCATTTCGCGCATCCGCAACAGCGAAACACCACCTAATTTCGTGCCCAAAACGTAGCACAGGAACCCCACAAAAGGGCCTAACGTTACTTCTGAAACCCTACTAAAATTCAGAAAGACAAGCACGAGCTGCATGGCTTTCTAGCACATCCGCAACGGCACAACACTACATCATTTCGCGCATCCGCAACAGCGAAACATCACCTAATTTCGTGCCCAAAACGTAGCACAGGAACCCCACAAAGGGGCCTAACGTTACTTTTGAAACCCTACTAAAATTCAGAAGGACACGCACGAGCTGCATGGCTTTCTAATGCATCCGCAACGGCAAAATACCACATCATTTCGCGCATCCGCAAGAGCAAAACACGACCTAATTTCGTGCCCAAAACATAGCACAGGAACCCCCAAAAAAGGCCTAACGTTACTTCTGAAACTCTATACTAAAATTGAGACAGACAAGAACGAGCTGCGTGGCTCTCTGGCGCATCCGCCACGGCAAAACACCACATCATTTCGCGCATCCGCAACAGCGAAACACCACCTAATTTCATGCCCCAAAACGTAGCACAGGAACCCCACAAAGGGGCCTAACGTTACTTCTGAAACCCTACTTCAGAAAGACAAGCACGAGCTGCATAGCCTTCTGACGCCTCCGCAACGGCAAAATACCACATCATTTCGCTCATCCGCAACAGCAAAACACCACCTAATTTCGTGCCCAAACATAGCACAGGAACCCCAAAAAAGGGCCTGACGTTATTTCTGAAACCCTACTACAATTGAGAATTGAGAAAGACAAGCTCCACATCATTTCGCGCATCCGCAACAGCAAAAAACACTACCTAATTTCGTGCCCAAGACGTAGCACAGGAACCCCAAAAAAGGGCCTAAAGTTACTTCTGAAACCGTACTAAACTTGAGAAAAACAAGTACGAGCTCCATGGCTTTCTGACGCATCCGCAACGGCAAAACACTACATCATTTCGCGCATCCGTAACAGCAAAACACCACCTAATTTCGTGCCCAAAACGTAGCACAAGAACCCCAAAAAAGGGCCTAACGTTACTTCTGAAACCCTACTAAAATTAAGAAAGACAAGCACGAGCTGCATGGCTTTCTATAGCGCATCCGCAACGGCACAACACTACATCATTTCGCGCATCCGCAACAGCGAAACACCCCCTAATTTCGTGCCCAAAACGTAGCACAGGAACCCCCAAAAAGGGCCTAATGTTACTTCTAAAACCCTACTAAAATTGAGAAAGACAAGCACGAGCTGCATGGCTTTCTAAAGCATCCGCAACGGCAAAATACTACATCATTTCGTTCATCCGCAACAGCAAAACACCACCTAATTTCGTGCCCAAAACATAGCACAGGAACCCCCAAAAAAGGCCTAACGTTACTTCTGAAACTCTATACTAAAATTGAGACAGACAAGCACGAGCTGCGTGGCTTTCTGGCGCATCCGCAACGGCAAAACACCACATCATTTCGCGCATCCGCAACAGCAAAACACCACCTAATTTCGTGCCCAAAACGTAGCACAGGAACCCCACAAAGGGGCCTAACGTTACTTCTAAAACCTTACTAAAATTGAGAATGACAAGCACGAGCTGCGTGGCTTTCTAACGCATCCGCAACGGCAAAACACCACATCATATCGCGCATCCGCAACAGCGAAACACCACCTAATTTCATGCCCAAAACGTAGCACAGGAACCCCAAAAAAGGAGTCAAATGCTGGGTCTATTTGCTGACATTTGCGGTAAACCTTGTTTTTTGACGTCCGTATGCATTATTTGAAGTCCGTAGCCAAAATTTGGCAACATTTGCGGGAACCATAATTTTACCGTAAAATGCGGTGAGCACGAGCGAAAAGTAAGAGGGGCTGATATAAGATTAGGGATCAATCCTGAAGAGATCACGGTTCATCACGTTTTGTCACGGTATTTTCGGCAAATGTCAAAATTTCAAGTGGCAAAAAGATGTTTCGTCACGATTTGTCAGGATTTTGAACTACATATGGCCATGATCAACTCGCATGCGCATCTTCGAAACAAAGGATGTCTGCGTTTTTTCATCGATTTCCGACAAAATCCGGTGGATTGCCGACAGATTCCGACACATGTCACCAAAATCAAGCGTTAACGTAGATGTAGCCGTATTTTGACTACATTGCTATTTTTGATCTATATGCCGACATCGATTCGCAAGAGAATTGAGGAAGACAAGCACGAACTGCATAACTTTCTAGCGCATCCGCAACAACAAAACATCCACATCATTTCGCGCATCCGCAACAGCAAAACACCACCTAATTTTGTGCCCAAAACGTAGCACAGGAATCCCACAAAGGGGCCTAACGTTACTACTTCTGAAACCCTACTAAAATTGAGAAAAACAAGTACGAGCTCCATGGGTTTCTGACGCATCCGCAACGGCAAAACACTACATCATTTCGCGCATCCGTAACAGCAAAACACCACCTAATTTCGTGCCCAAAACGTAGCACAGGAACCCCAAAAAAGGGCCTAACGTTACTTCTGAAATCCTACTAAAATTAAGAAAGACAAGCACGAGCTGCATGGCTTTCTAACGCATCCGCAACGGCAAAATACCACATCATTTCGCGCATCCGCAACAGCAAAGCACCACCTAATTTCGTGCCCAAAACATAGCACAGGAACCCCCAAAAAGGGCGAGCTGCATGGCTTTCTGACGCATCCGCAACAGCAAAACACCACCAAATTTCGTAGCACAGGATTCCCAAAAAAGCGCCTAGCGTCACTTCTGAAACCCTAGTAAAATTGAGAAAGACAAGCACGAGCTGCATGGCCGCAACGGCAAAACACCACATCATTTCGCACATCCGCTACCCTATAGAATAGAAGTGGTAGTAGTCCGAAACAAGGGTCAAATGTCTTATTCCCTGGCGCGCTCCCCCCTTGCGTCTGCCGGGGTCGGCGGATTTTCTCACACTTTTCGTCATGGAGTATTGCAAAGAGTGATGCTGAGCTACTACATGTGTTTAAGAATACACCGCACATCAGAAGTGTGCCGTGTCCATTCAAGGACTTTCTCTGAAGGCAAAACTTGTTCAAAGTGCTACTGCATCTATGTACAATCTTTGAAAGAATGCCCCACCAATTTTTGCAACATGTCCAATACTCGTTCAAAAGAGTACTGCATCCATTCAAGGACTTTCTTTCCAGGCAGGACTCTTTCAAAGTTTAGCTGCATCTATTAACGCTTTCTGTTATAAAGCAATGTTACATGTTCTCAAAGAAATACCCCACCATAACCCCCGAAGCGAAAATTTCCAGGTACTTGTATACTTTGTTTCAATATGTCAAGCCTAGACAGGAATGTGTACGCATCCAAGATTCCAAGATTCCACCTAAACACTCCTGTGCTACTCTTGGAATCTTGGATTCACCCTAAGGTTGTACGCGTATGTACGCGTTTTGGCTGTACACGTACGCACGCATATTTGTATATATCAAGAGCTATATATATATTTATTTATTTACATACATACATACACATACACATACACATACACATAGACATAGACATATACATATACATATACGTACATATACATATACATATACATATATATATATATATATATACATTTACATATATATACATTTACACATATATATACATACATAAATAGATATATATTTATACACATACATAAATATATAGATATATATATATTTTTTGTATATACAAACATATTCTATATCTATATATATATACATATATATACATATATATATACATATATATATATACATATATACATATATATACATATATATACATATATATATATACATATATATACATATATATATACATATATATATACATATGCATATATATAAACATATATATGTATACATATATATATACATATATTTGCATATATATATACATATTTATACACATAAATATATATATATATATATTTGTATATACATACATATTCTATATATACACATATATATTTACATATATATACATATATATGAATATGTATATACACACATATATATATACCTATATACATATCCATACATATATTTATATATACATAAATAGATACATATATATTTGTATATATATATATACATATACATGTATGTTTACATATATATATATGTGTGTATGTTTACATATATATATATGTATATATGGTAACCCCTTTTCATCAAAGGCCACACAAAACATTAAAAACCAGTAATAGTTCAAAATCAAGACCCAAAAAATGATCATAAAGCACCGTAAATGCCATGGAAATGACATTAAAGGTAGACCTCGGGGGTACCATATATACATATGCATATTTATATAGATATAGATATAGATGTAAACAACATCTATGAATATGAACAAGTATATGTATATACTGATGAAAATAAATTGTATACACTGATGAAAATAAATGTAAACATGAGTTTTAATACAACTAGATGTAATATACATGTATACCTATATTCTATACTTATGCCATGATGGTTGTTGGAATTGCCAATTGATGGATCAGCGGGAATGTATCCTCCAGTGCATCTCTGCCGCACAGGTTGCGGGGGGAGAGAGATTTTTTCATGTAGCTAGGTCTGTTGCCTCCATGTTTGTCGGCGAAGTCCTACTCATCCCTTTGCCCTCCGGTAATCAAGCATGGCGTGCTGGAAAAAACCTTCATTTAGATTGGGGATTTCCCAGCTATGTTTCAATACCGAAGGATATCTCCCCATCAAATCCTCATTAAACTATCATTAGATCATCTTAAAACCGCCATTGAATCACCATGAAGTCAAAAGGAATCCTCAGTTTTTTTTTCGTTGCCCAGGTGCCTTTGGCCTTGCTACACAACACCAAGAGTTGTTTGGTGGGTCTGAAACTTTGGGGTCCCAGCCTGAGCGAGGCATTTTGGGATTGAGATTTGGTGAAAGGGAATGGTTTTAGTTTGACCAATGAAATCCTTATTCCCTTTAATCAATGAAAGTAGTTGTTTCATCCACTTTTAGTGAACGGTGAATGAAAGTTGCCAAACATCAACCATTTACCGAGCTATCCACTTTGCGAAGGGATTTGAGGTGGAGATGGCGCCAAATGAGCTGGAGACACAAATTTTATCTGAGACTACCCCAGTGTCAGGTCCTGAATTGCGCATTGGTTTTACCTGGTTATTTGATGTTTTGGTTGGGATGAGCCCCATTTGTAACGCCAATCGTTGGTTATTGTAGCTCTGGTTACATCCACCTGTTCGAAGTCTTGACAAGTTTTCGTCCATGCTTGGAAAATACAGGCTCCTCATCAAATAGCTACACCTCATCTTTTCATGAGAAAACTGCCATCATAAATGAATTTACATGTTCCATTGTCCTATTTCTATTGCCCAACCAATTTACCATTGATTCGTTTCACCCCTTCCTATCCCATGTGGGTTCGTCTGACGATAGGGTACAGCTAAATCCAATTGGTGAATAATCATTTTCCCATATTTTCCCCTCTGAAATGGCCATTGTATGGGCATACTCCATTTTCAGACAGGCCCATACAGACGTGGAATATTCTTAACCATCATTACCAATTGTTAACCATCATTAACCATCACTAATCATCATTAACGATCATTAACCATCATTAACCATCGCTAACCATCATTAACGATCCTTAACCATCATACCCATCGCTAACCATCATTAACCATCGTTAACCAGCGTTAACCACGTTTAACCATCATTACCAATCATTAACCATCATTAACCATCACTAATCATCATTAACGATCCTTAACCATCATTAACCATCACTAATCATCATTAACAATCCTTAACCATCATTAACCATCGGGAACCATCATTAACGATCCTTAACCATCATTAACCATCGCTAACCATCATCAACGATCCTTAACCATCATTAACCAGCGTTAACCATGTTTAACCATCATTAACGATCCCTAACCATTATTAACCATCGTGAACCAGTGTTAACCATGGTTAACCATCATTAACGATCCTTAACCATCATTAACCATCGTTAACCATCGTCAACCAGCGTTAACCATGTTTAACCATCATTAACGATCCCTAACCATTATTAACCATCGTGAACCAGTGTTAACCATGGTGAACCATCTTTAACGATCCTTAACCATTATTAACCATCGTTAACCATCGTCAACCAGCGTTAACCATCACTAACCATTCTGCCAGCTTTCCCAAGGTGCAGAGCATCCTAACGTGGAGCGCAAGCTGCGCGAGTTCGCCGCCATTCTGGGTGCGGTGGGTTTTTCAAGCGCCTTGGATCAATTTTTTTTTGGTTAATGGACAATCAACAGTTACTTCATGGTCAATAATGTTGATTAGTGGTTAATTAATGGTTAATAAGGTTAAGGGTTATGCTGGTGGATTAATGGTTAATGATGGTTACTTAGTGGTTAATAGTGGTCTGGTTGGTGGTTTGGAACATTTTTCCATATATTCGGAATAATCATCCTAACTGACTAATATGTTTCAGAGGGTTGAAACCACCAACGTAGTGTTGAATACTGGTTGATAATGGCTAATTAGTGGTTAATCATGGTTAATCATGGTTAATCATGGTTGGTAACCAGTGGTTAATCAATGGTTAACAATGGTGAATGATATTTACATATCAACAATAGTATCTTAGGTTGACTCAATGGGAAAATATCTGGGTGAATTTGATGGGTATATGGTCTATATGCATATCAATCACGTATAGTGGCAATACATTAGATTGACTCAGTGGGAATTTACATATAATATAGATATATATATATACATATGTATGTAGACCATATATATATATAATTGGAATGTATCATGGGAATAGTAATGTGGTAATTTGGGACTATATAGTAGTCAATAACGGTGTATTAGAAGGACTCAATGGGCATATATCTGGGTGAGTTTTATGGTTAATGGGAATATTGTTGAAGCAATGTAATATTATGCTAATATCTATGGTCATAATGTGGGCAACCCAATGCCATAAACAACTACTATTTGGCGATTGTTTTTACCTGCCATTTATGGTGAGTTTGGGGATGGTTTAGCCTGAGTTTGAACTGGCTTATATCTACAGTTATAGCTGGCTTACAACCTTTCTTTAATTATATGTTTCACCTTTGCTGCAGGAGTTATCACCCAAAGTTTGTGTGAATGTAAATGACCAGTTTGGGACTTTCGTTTGACCCATCCATCTCCATATAGCCATCGATCTATCTGTATTTCTATCTGTTTATCTATCTATCATCTATCTATTTAACATCTATCTATCTAATCTATGTATCTAATCTAGCTTTCTAATCTAATCCAAACTAATCTAATCTAACCTAAGCTAACCTAATCTAATTTAATCTACTCTAATCTAGTTTAATCTAATCTGATCTAGTCTAATCTAATCTAATCTAATCTAATCTAATCTAATCTAATCTAATCTATCTGTCTATCTGTCTATCTATCTACCTATCTATCTACCTATCTATCTATCCATCCATCTATCTATCTATCTATCCTATCTATCTATCTGTCTGTCTATCTATCGACCTATCCATCTATCCATCTATCCATCTATCCATCTACCTATCTATCTTTCTATCTATCTATCTATCTATCTACCTACGTATCCATCTATCCATCTATCCATCCTTCTATCTATCCATCTATCTATCGATCTATCCATCCTTCTATCTATCCACTATCCATCTATCAATCGATCTATCCATCAATCTATCTATCTATCTCGATCTATCAGTCAATCAATCAATCTATCTATCTATCTATCTATCTATCTATCTATCTATCTCTGTCTGTGTGCGTGCCATGGTCCAAGCTTAGGTCAATTGCCCATATTGTTGGATAGCCATCAATCCATTAATGGGGGTTTATACACGGTTGCGAGGATTCCTATGATGTGATCGATGGATGTCTTCTTTGGTGGATCCAAGCAACCAAAAAGATAGATATCATCCTGCAAAAACAGGGGATGTTTCCATGAATGATAGGCGACTTGAAATCACAGAAATTGGAGGTAAATCACCTTGAAAACTGGGGATATAAGCTGAAAATAATTGAGAATATGGTTGATTGGGTTATACAATTCACTTGGACTTGTTATCATTGGGTCCCAGAATTGGTTTCCTCTGTAGACTTTCCGTTCGAACAATCCATTGATTGTGGTTATTCGGACCTGAAAACCCAGCACTGCTCTTTCTCTTGGGGAGTATCATCTGTGAACTGGGAATCCCGTTCTGAACCAACCAGTGTAATCAACGAATGACGAACACTGGGTTTGGAACACACTGAGTGGTCCCATCGCCAGAAACGGATGGGGCTCAGGCCATGCTCAGCCGGTGCTGGCTGGAGATATGCAGGCTGGGCAAACCTGGGTTGTATTGCTGTGAAGTATTTTATTTCTCTCGAAAAGTTCGGTTTTTGAAGAGATATCTGAGGCAAACCATATGATTGTTGGTTCGTATCCCCAGCAAAGGTATCATGAGCTATCCCACCAGTTTGGCTAGCAATATCCCCATCCAGATCTTTTCTAACTATGGATGGGTTTGCCAGGGGATCTTATAGGTTTTGCAACTTGGATAGAGATTGTAGCTGCTTAGTAAATATGTTTCGAAAGTATGGAATGAAGGAGACGATTGCAGCTAATTCAACACTATATAGATATATACTGTATAGTCCCTATATTCTTGATGCTGCTAGAAATAGACACTAAAAAACAGCGTGTGAATTATAAGAATTCACCCCGATGAGAACATTTTTTCTCCATCCAGGCCTTGCCTTGGGCAGTTTGCTCCCGAGTTTTCTGGGTTCAATCCGCATGTGTGTCTGTGTTAAATCTCATGTAGCTCACTTAAAACATCTTCAGTTTCAGTGTTCCCTTTTGGTGATTTGACATGGCTATGGAATATGGCCCATTGATAGATGATTTGCCTATTGAAGATGCTGGGTTTCCAGTTCGCAAACTATTAAATTACAGGTAAACCATCTCAGGTTTTGGTCCATCTGAGTCCTCAGTTTTTCTCGGTGAAAACTCCCAACAATCACCAGGCTCTGCAAGAAATGCTGCAAATTTTCACATCCCAGGACTTCGCTTTGTGCCGGCAGAGTGACAGTCGTAGGGATAGCCTCTGGTAACTTTCGGCTTGCAAACTGGACAACCACCATTTTTGATAAATCATCATAAATCTAAAAAAGTGTGATTGTAGAATGTTATTCTATGTCGATACACATATAGATATCTGTTTGTTCGGTTTTTGATATCACTAATAGAGCCATCTGGATATGCACATAGGTATAAATGATCTGAAGCCTTGTATGTAAATGTCAGGCAATGTCATGCACTGTAATGCAATGCAATGGGGAAAATAAGATATTCTGCTAGTCAAGTATGAATTGTTGATACGACTTTGCGTCTTTTTTTAATTGTTCGATGTGTTCCATACTGTTGAGTTGCATCTCTTTTGTTGCTTATATAACTTATATCTCTTTATTCATCTCCCACCAGCAAACTGACATCCAAAAACCCACAAAAAGGGTGTCACCGCTAAGTTCGCCAACGAAAATGCTAGGAACATGTAGCATCTCAATCGACCATGCGCCACAAAAAGGGTCGCCAACAGGCAGCGGCGAATCTGGCGATTCTGCAGATTCGAACCCCATAGTTCCCTTAGGAAATTGATCTACAAATGTTGTGGGAATTCCACAGCACTGGAGAGTAACCACAATTGTATCACGTGGTTATTAAACGACGTTTCTACGCTGAATGTGACTGTGTCATTGTTGTGATGTCATTGTTACTGGGATGATGAAAAACTGTATATGTACAAGCCTTGAAATTCCCGATGAGTAGATCTAATACTAAACCAGGCTTTGGTCATCGGGTCGTTTTTTTTTACGCCGTAGGAGCACTTGCTGGACTTCGATCTGCAGCAATGGCAGCGCGAAGAGGAGCGATGCAGCCAGTAAAATGACCGTTTCCAAGAAGTAAATCCTCATAAATCATAGGCCATTGCCCATTGCTATGTTCAATAACCAGAGGGTATATTCTCATGATTTTCCCATGGAAAATCATATTCAATCACCATTTTTGATGTTCATCAGCATTTCCCATCATATTCCCATGATTCACCATGTTCTCAATGGTTGTTTCAATAGGTGAAAAAAACACGCATCACACCTCCAATCACAAAAATCATGGGGATTTCTTTGGAATCGCATGGAAAAATATACCAAAAACATTTTTAAAAAAAAACACCTGGATTTTGGATCCACGAAAGCTTCGAAGTTTATGAAGTTTATATCATGGTATTTAACCATCATTAACCATCATTAACCATCATTAACCATTCACCATCACCAGCTTTTGCCTTTTCACCCCGCCTTCGTTTCCAGGACGCTGCGGCCTTGGATTACGCCTCCCGCAGATGGCCGGCTCCAGAGGACCCATGATTTTTTCAAGTTTTATTTAAGGTGGGTCTAAGAAAATATGTGAGATATGGATAGATATGGGTTATTTCATGCTATTTCCATATGATGCCGAAAAATAGTAGAAGAGATGATACAGATGGTGATTTCTTGGAGATTTTGCTGGATACTATAATGAAATATAACTTGTACCTTTTGAATAATGTCATAAGCCAACCATATGAATTGATGTTTGGAATCCGACCATAAAATGGTAAATGCGGGGATGTTTTACTACTGCTTTGCTAACATTATGTGAGATATGGGTTATTTCCACTAAATATGATATAATATTTTACAATACTATAAAAGGATTTATCTAGCCATAATATGGAAGATTTCACTAACCATATGGGGATATGTGGATGAGTTATTTCCGACAAAAAGAGGATGGTCATCAACCCGGTAAATGAAGGCAATGATACCAGGGGATTCTGTACGACGTCAAACAACGGAAGGACTTTATTTTCAATCATGTTGCTAGGGTGTTAACCAGAACATGTTGCTTCTGCATATCATCTGGAATTCACCTAATACCCTCATTAGGGTTTCTTATCGGGTTTCAAGAAGATATCAAAATCATCATCGTCATCTTGGCCCCGGACGCTCCAAGGCGAGTCCGGGCAAACCTCAGGGTCTTGCCGTAATATTAATGAAATCATCGTGACAAATAGTCTCAACTATATTTACGTGTACACATGTATATACATATACTTATACATATACTTGTACATATACTTATACATACACGTGTACATATACTTATACATATACTTTTACATATACATTTGCATATACATTTACATACACTTATACATATACTTTTGCATATACATATACTTATACATATACTTGTACATATACTTATACATACACGTGTACATATACTTATACATATACTTTTACATATACATTTACATATACTTATACATAAACTTGTACATATACATTTACTTTTACATATATTTGTACATATACTTATACATATACATATACTTGTACATATACATTCTCATATACTTATACATATACATACACTTGTACATATACATTTTCATTTACTTATACATGTACTTTTACATATACATACACATATACATATACTTGTACATATACTTATACGTATACTTATACATATGCATATACTTATACATATACTTATATTTGTACATATACTTATACATATACTTGTACATATACTTTTACATATACATATACTTATACATATACATATGCTTATACATATACCTTTACATATACATACACATATACATATATTTGTACATATACTTATACGTATAATTATACATATACATATATATACATATACACAAAAATAGGATGCCTCCTGTAACTCCAGATCTTGTCCTTAGTGCCTCCAGGATGACTAAGCCCTAGAGGCACGTGAATTTCCAGCCGTGAGAGTTGAATCGATTTTCTGGTCTTTTTTATAGGTAATGTGGTAAACCAGAATGCCATAAACCTACTGGAGATGATGCTCACATAAAAATGGTGATTTTCATGTGGGATGATTTATGATTGGGTTTACCACATTCCGGAGATTTTTGGGTAAAATTATGAATGGAAAATGAATGGGATATTGGTTGGTGTATCCTCCGGTGTCCTCAAACATGGCTGGAAAATCTCCCAACTATCGATGACAGTTTGCTATTGAAAATGGCCATAGAAATAGTGGATTTATCCATTGAAAATGGTGATTTTTCCATGGTTATGTTACATGTTAGTTTACCAGAGGGTAAAAACAAGAATCGGAAGAATTCAACAAAGATCTGAATGAAAACAGATGATGATACGTGGACATTGGTGTTTTGACCTCCATGTTTTCATTCTCCATTCTTCTCTGTGGGGAATGGTGGTCCCTGCTTGGGATAGCCTCTGGTAATGAGCTCCATGGCTGGAAAATCCCCTTTAATTTTCCATGAAGCGTTCAATGGGAAAATCAACGAACCAAATGGTGGATTTTCCAGCACGCCATCTTTCATTAGTAGAGATAGTAGACCAAATGATCGCCACAAGCGGAATTCATGGTTTTGGTCACCGAGAGGGGCAAAGGTGGATCAAATCCCAAGCTGAAAAAACCAAGGGGGTGGCCCTACGAAGAACTAGCTGCCGAATAGATCCAGTACGTTCCACCAGTGAATACCGGGGCTTGCTGACATCAGTCCGACCATGACTTGTTGATCCAACAGAGATACTCTGTAGCAAGTCGTACGCACACCTCATCCAATGGTCCAACAGAGATATGTTGCTGGTAGCAGCCAAGATGGATAGATAAGGCATTTTTTTAATGGTGGATCCCCAAGTCACCATAGATTTCAATCCTAAAATAGTCTAATTTTGGATGATTTGGGGTACCCCCATGACTTAGGAAACCTCCAAAACCTGCAAGAACGGACCTGTGGGGACCCTGTCAAGGCTGGCGCTCCAAGCTGAGTTCTGATTTCGAAAAAAACAGGATGGGCGTGTCCCAAAGATGTTCAACCGAAAAAGGCAACTGGTTAGAGGGGAAACCCTTGGCAATCTGGCAAACTGTAAACGCAGATCATTAGATACCAGCCAGGAGTTAACTTTTTTTCATCGGGTATCCTAGATTCGCCAGAACAGTTGGATCCTTGACTGAAAGGCCGATCCAAAGATCCAGCATAAATATGGTTTTGTTGCAAACAATGTTCAAACATGATGAACAAAAATATGGGTAGGTGCTTGCCACTCAATATCTAACATGGTTTAAACAAAGATGTTCAAAACATAGTTCATATGGTTCATATGGCTTTGTTTGAACATGGTTAAATATGGCTTATGATCACATGATCATATAGGGGAAATCATCAACATTGATGGTCAAGCCAATCAGGTTGGGCAGCGCTCAAGTGGGGTTACCGTAAGTTCCCTCCGGTAGGTGGACGTGCATCCTAGAGAAAGTGATTCACACCGCGATTTTTTGGCTAACTCTAAGCCATTGGTATGATAGGCCAAGCTCGGTGAATGGGAAAACAGATTCAGCGGCTATGGAAGAAGAGGAACTTGTTGGTGATATTGATGTGTGTGCAGTGTAAGATGGGCCAAGATGGGCCATTGAAGCCATTGTTAGCCCCAATTTCCTGCGTGGGCGACGCCCATCGTGAAGCTTCACAGCAACATTGCTTAGGTTGACATGTTGGCCGTGCCAACAAGAAGTGGCAGCTTGAGGCTTCCAATGGATGGTGCAACTGATGTTCTACTGAAAAGTAACACTGCAGAAACTGTAGAAACCGACTTGTGAATGGTTGGTCCATAGAATGATACGTTCTACCCATCTCTATGTAAGAGCATCTTACATCCAACTTGAAATTCGCCCCTGAGAGGTGTGTCTAGCTGATGTTTTTTCATTGCTGTGGATGAGGTAAAGTAGTAGAACGCTGGTTTCAAGCTTGTGCACCATCTATAGATTAACAATCCTTCAACCAGCTCTATTTTGTTCCCCAAGAACTGTGCCATGTTTACTGAACTGTCGCCCCTTTCCGTCTTGCCCGCCGTAACCTCTGGATGCCTGTGATGTCCATGCTGTCCATGTGCCGACCATGATGTCCTTGGTTTCCTTGGAAATCGGATTCCCCAAGCATCCCATGGTCGACAAAATCATGTTCCCAATTTTAGAATACCCCCATTTTCAGACACACCCGTATCCCATAAGATGATAGTTTATATACATATTATATATATATATATACATATATATATATATATATGGTCTCGTCCTCCGTCTCTCCACCCCCCCCCCATGGGTTGGGTCCCCAGGTAGCAGCCCCAATTCCCTTCTATTTGCAAGCTATTGGCAGCATTTCTGAGGTCCAGCTGCGTATTTGCTAGGTCTTTGCAGCATTTCTGACTACCAGCCTCGCATTTACGAGATACATGCTACCTTTTAGGCGGCCTACGTAGCACACATACTCCTTCAAAGTACCTACGTGCTACCTATAGTCATATATACATGTGCTATGTATCTACTGTATCTACTTCCTATTTACTACCTGTGTACTCTGACAACACTACCTGTGTTTAACATATACCGTACCTACCATACATGTCAATGATGCCGAGCATACCATACCTATCATATCTTTCATACATACCATACATACCATACATATGAAATGTAATTACCACACCTACGTACACCTACCATACATACAATAGCAAACATACATGCCATACATACCACACCTACCTTACATAGGAAATATTCCATACCCATCATAGTAACCATACATACCATACAGACCATACATACTGTCATATCAAACATACCATACCCAACAGACTTACATACCATACCTACCATCCATACAATACCAACCCACTCATGCCATACATACCATACCTACCATACATACCAAACATACCATACTTTCCAAACATGCCATACCAGACCGACCATACACACCATACATACCCAACATACCATACACACCCCCACCACACCACAGGGGGGGAGGGGGAAGATCTCATATGGGGCCAGTATATGGGACCCATCCCATGGGGGTGGGGGGGAGGGGGGGGTGGCAGGGCCTGGTGCATATATATATATATACATTATATATATACATATATATATATATTTATTTATTTATTTTTTACATATACATATATATATATATACATATATATATACATATATATATATATATATACATTTATATATATATATACATACATACATACATACATACATATCAAGGCTGATAATTATTTAAAAGAAAAAGCGTAAAAGGCGTTGTTGGTGAGATCTCCATGCGGATTACCCTCCGGTAATTTTTCACATGGCTCGGAAATCCCCGGAACGAGCTTTACAGGTTTATTTCGCTGGGAAAGTCATCCATGTTGGAGGGTTTGGATACACATACATTAATGTGTATGTGATTGTTTGTATATATATATAATATATATATATGTACATATCAGAGCTGGAGACATAAAAGGCAGTGAACCCCGCATCTCATGATTGAGAAATAGTGAAATAGGGAGATTGCGGCCTAGCCAATTTATGACTTTTGATCTATATCCAGTGCAATCCGTTCCTGGGATAAATAGATTGATCATAGTGAGAATATCGCAAGTTTATCCGACTCAATCCCTATCTTTCAATGGTCTTCTGGTCAGTCTGGTTCTATCCTTTTTGTGTGAATTACAACGACCACAAAATCCACCATAGACGCTGCTTAGTTTGTAAGACTGGCTGGCAGTTTCCAGGAATTATCTATTCTGTGCATCCTTGCTTGGTATGAGAATGGCCGTGGGTCGCATCAAAACAGCTGGTAAATGGTTCTTCATCTCCAAAAGTAAGGTAAACTATAGTGCTTTAAAAACCAGTGGTTTTCCAGCCAGTAGCTCAACAACCCATGGATGCTTACCATTTTGTTGCAGGGATCCCCCTGACATGGCAGTTACTCTGATTGGTTTATGACCCCGAAAAGAACTCAACAAAATGTCATATAGTTAATTATGATATACAGGATAACTGTAAATGATATAATATAGTTCTTTGTGATATATCATATAGTTAATATATATATATGTAGCGTAATGTAAGGTAATGTAATGTAATGTATGTGGGTTCGTTCAAAAATGGGGTGCCCTTTTCACTGGTTCACTATCATTTTCGATATTAAAAACACCAGTTATTCATAGTCTTTCATGGTACACCCCGTTTTCAGACACAGCCTTTATATATATATATATATATGTATAGTATAGTTATATATGAAATAATATAGTTCTTTGTGATCTAATATATATATATATACATATATATATACATATATACTCACTATAAATCCAATCCTTCGCCTAGCCATAAACTCACGAAATGTGCATCTCCTGCAGCCTCGAAAGCTGTTTCAGCTGGAACCTTTTGAGAAAGCTGTGGAAGTCTCAAGAGGGAATCAATCACCATGAAACCACCATGAAATCACCATTGAAACGAAACGTTTCCAGTTGGAAAATATGGCTTTGAAACGTCATGTGGACTCGGCTCCACGAAGCTCCATTTTTTGGAGGTTCCATGGGTGGAGAACCCACGAAAAGACGTAGGATCTTTGACGCGCAAGTGACGCGACGAAGGCAAAAAATGTTCCCCTTGGTCAGTTGGGTTGAAAATGGCTTGTTTTTGTCGCAACGATGAGAAAATAGACTTCAGAAATGACTGTATCCTAAAATCTATAGCTGAGATACATATTATATATGACATATGATATATCTGTGTTTTATTTGTATCATTTTGTATCAGCATCGTTTTTCTTGAGGTGATGAATTTTAGATCAAAGGGAACTGCATGATATGTTGCGTAGGTTGATCATGTGTGTTTTGCAGTGTAGCGTAGGTGGCGGGCATAGGCTCCTCACATAGGCACTTGTCGATTTCTTACGCAAAGGCAAGATTGTGTAGGCTGAGCTGCTAGCCGCTGACTTCTTTATGTGCCGTGAAAAAGATGCGAAGACTTGCATATTATAATATATATATATGTATATATATACACATTATGATTGACAGTGTGTTTGCAGCTTCCGAAGATGGTAGATTGCCTAACAATAGGGGGAGATGTCACAGACGGTTGCCATGAATTGTCTCTGGGCTCGCCATGTCAGCGATGATCTTGAAGGCTTAGGTGTGGCAAAGCCTGAAGCCGTAACCAAATACTCCAGATGAATTCGTGAAATCCCATACTTCGTTGGTTAAAGCACCATGTTTGATACTTTTCTCCCCACTATGATTGGTTGATATGTCCCATTTATCCGTTGATTCTCCCAATTTATACGCCCCATTTATCGCAGCTGCCGAGGTCGTGCGACGTGAAGGCGGTGATGTTGGCAGACGAAAAGCAGCATGGCGTTGAAAAATCGGTGGTCTACCGAGTCCGAGAAGGAACAATCAATCCATGAATTAATGCGGGGTTATGTAATGTAATGGAATGTAATGTAATGTATACATGGATACACATATGTGTATATATATACTTCATTTATTAATGGTTTGATCAAGTTGGTTACATATATATATATATATGTGTGTGTGTGTCATTGTTTGACACCATATTCACCAATAGGGAGGAATAAATATATCCACAATAAGGAAATCATGGTGTATATAACGAACTATATACATATATATGCACATCCATTGGTGGGACATCAAAGTCCGATTTAATCATTAGAAATACGTATTGAATGGGATCCATGCGCAACTTCATGGGGTATGTAACCAACTATAATGGCAATGGTCGGTGCTTTTAATTTTTGGGATATTGATTAGTGGGATATGTGTGGCATAACCCACTGGAACACAAGTTTGAGCCAATCTCAAGAATAATCAGTTGGAATATATATATATAATATATATATAATATATAATATATATATATATATTGGTTTACCTTCTGGTATTTGAAGATACAAACCTCCAATCGCCTCCAGAGACAAAACAAGCATTTTTCCTGGTGAATCTGTGAATTTCCCAGCTGACATCGGCTTCGCAATGCTCTGCGGTGTGCCTGTGTGTGAGGCACATTGAAATTAGGGCAACTTGAGAATTGAGAATTTTAAGCCATTTCGAGTTTGCGTGGTATACCAAAGTTTGCGGGATCAAAACCTATTAGTTCTACGGTATACCAAAGTATCAAAAGCCATCAAAAACATGATTATACATCATTACACCACATTTTGGTGGGATGGTTACATCCATAAATCCAGCGAGCTTCTCGTCTTCAACATCCCGGGTGATCCATGGCCAGAGTTCTCCGAGGCAGCAGTTGGACTTGCACTCTCTGATCCATCACAGCGTTCCCTCCTGCAGGCCAGGCGGATTTCCTTGCTCCGCATTCGCGGCTGAACATGTCGTGCCTTTCGCGGCTCACCCGCAGGAGCAACCAGGAGCACAAGAATCTGGTGGGAGGTGCCAATCCATCCTGGAGGGGAAAGAAAAGGTGACAGCGAAAGAGAAAAATTCGCGGGAATAGCATCAAGTTTGGGATCTGTTCTGCTGCAATTTGTGCATGCGGAAGAATTATGGGTGAAGGGGATTGTTTGAAATCTCTGCTTCATTTCTACGAAAGAAACGAAACTGGAACGACTGGAAATTTGGGACTGCACATTGTTTTGGGCAATCCCGAAGTTTAAGATGGGAAATTCCCAGCCGGGTTCAACATTGACCCAGCATCTCTGGGCAGGTTCAGCTGAATGCATCTTCAAAGGAATTATCAAAGTCGATGCAGAGGCCATCGTGGAAGGAAGGATTCTCAACTGGGTCCTGGAGTCCGAAAAATATGTTGAGTTTAACCAGATTGGAGTTGTCAGGTGCCCACCCAAGCGCTGAAATTTGAGCCCGTTTTTCAGATGCAGATTTCAGACCCATTTCGCGCATTCCGAGAAAAGCGTCCCAAAAAATGATGTGTCTGGAAAACATCGAGAAACAGGTTGGTGTCAACTTGTTTCATCGATGTCCCTTTCCCCTTGTTGAATAAACGGGGAGCCCCTTGTTGGACAGTCCAGATTTTTTGCATCCCAAAGGTCAAACAATTTGTACTGCCGCCCTTTCAAACCCATATCTCCAGTTCCTTGCTTCTCAAAAAAGAAACCACATGTTCTGTTGGCTAAATCCCCCTTGCGTGGTGGTTGAATCATCGAATCTGGTTTGTATATGTATGAACGCCCCAATGACTTCTTGATGTGGTAACCCACGTGTTAGCCGCTAACGTCTTGGTTGGTGGGTTGGCTAGATCATATATCAATATATATCATGCTTCACATTGCCCAATATGGATTCTTTACTCCAAACTAAACCACTCCAAATACATCCATCTTTAGGCTCCACACCCATTTGTCGGGCGACTCATTCGATCTTAGTCGCTGGAACCTCCAGGCGCAACAAACGGAGAGCGCTCAGATCGTCCGGTCACTGCTGCTGACGAAAAAATCCAAAGTCAAGGCTCCGCCATGGCTCCGCCACGGTTTCCGTGAAAATGGGCCCAAAAAGTCCCTGAAAATCCACCAATTTTATGGTGGATTTCATGGGATTGAACCAACAGAACTGATGGATTTCTAGGTGGATTTTTTGATGGCGAAGTTGGTGAGTTTATAACTCCAATAACTCTTGGGTTGATGGTGAATGTAAAGAAGTAGTTAGATGGTTTGTAAATCAACCTCTAACTGGAGGGGGCATCGACTTTGATTGTGGGATCCAACCACCATAGACATAGGGGTGGTTTTACATTGGAAATGGTGATAGAAAGGATATGACTTGATATAACGGATGGTTGTGAATATGGCTGATAGATGTAATATGACTACGATGATGATTGGGGATAGTAATGCGGTAAAGTCAATAAGAAACCATCACCACAAGAAATGTGTATTGACCACCAAAAAATGATTGGTCCTTATAGAATTTACCAGGTTTATTGAGATCATTTGGTCAGGGGTGTGAATGTTCAACTTTTCAACTGTACCCCAATGAAAGAGCAATTTTTTACGGGCTGAAACCCCGCAAACTGGAAAAACTATAGTAGTGATAGTAACAATGATAACCCCGATTATGAGAATGATCATGATGGTATCCAGAATGATATGAGTTCGGAAATTCCGGGCCCCTGATTTAGCGCAATCGTAGCTACCCATGATGACTGGCAGTTGGGGAACTGGTTTTCATTGAACATTGAGCAGCTGGGAGAGTCCTAATTGCCTGGAAAAGCCCCCTGTTCAGCGCTTGTTGCCATGAAAATTGTTGGATCGGGACCCTGCAGGCCATGCCTTCCCTGCAGATTCAGGCGACGCTGGTGGCGCAACTTCATGATGTGTAAAAGAAAAGACCTATGTAGCGTAAATATAAAGTGGGGGTGAAAGTCAGCAATGACACAGACCTGGAAACATGCAGAATCTCGGGTCAGTAATTTTCAGTCATACTGTGCCATACTTATATGTGTATATGTTTTTACACATAAATGAACAAATGCGTGAAAGAGGACCAGTAGATGAAGATAATATGACAAACCCAATGCCATAAAGAAATATACCATTTGCAACCCTTTGTGGTTCACGGCCTTGGGTTTCCTACATTAGGTTTTAAGCCAGATAGTTGCTAATATATATACATGAGTTAAATTAGATTATACATTATGACATCATATTAATACGTCGACATATATGATATATCATGATTCTATATTAACGTCCAAGATATTTATCATCATGTATACTTCAGAGTTCCTAAGTCTCTAGGATGAAGGGTTTTCAAAATATTTTCTTTTTTGATTTATTTGTGATTTGGATACGATTTCCATTTATGATTTTTTTATGGCTTCAAATTGTGGTTATGTTTTTTAATGGTTTTGGATCTGTTTTTTAATGATCTTTTTATGGCTTTGGAAATGGTTTTGGGAACCTTGGTGGCACTTCAAGATCAGGTTACCTGTGGTGGGAAAAGGCTTCTTGGAAAGGGAAACTCTAGCAAAATCGATGAAAAACAAAAATCATATTTAAAACCATAAAAAGACGTATTCGAAACCATTAAAAAAAAAACATAAGTCATTTTCCCATACATAAAAAAAATATCTGCAAATCATTGAAAAAACATATTAAAATCGTTTAAAAAAACATAGTTGCCAAAAACGGCATCCTAAAGGATTTAAGAAGTCTGAAATGTATACCATTAATATACCATTAATCATATCACATCAATTCATATCATATGCATATCTACCATATTATCGACATTTTGTTTTTCTATATGAGTGAACATGATATCAAAAAAGAGATACCTTGTTTGTTATCATATTATCGTTGGAATCATATGGATGTGGGTCAAAGTGGAAGACCTAGGGAACCACAGATGTGAATGTCTAGTTTAGTATTAACCATCCATAATTTTGGGGTACCTAATTTTGACCCATAGTCATCTTGTGAATTTTCTGTGCCGATGGGCTGATTCCCTCTGTCGGACAGGCGGATGAAGTGACCTGTTCCCACGGTGCCGCGTTGACCCAACTGGACCCTGAGGAGGCCGAAGAACAACCACGGCCGAGGTGTGATTCGACCCGAAAAAAATGGGGCATTTAGGGCAAAAAGCCAAGTTTTGGCAGAAATTGGCATGGAAGCAATAGAAATTGGCCAGTTTTACCAACAAGAATTGTGGTTGCCAAAAACATACAGTGGGTTATACAGATATGTGGCGTTGCCAGCATGCAGATTGAAGCATCGAAGATGGGGGAAGTGAAGACGTTGGCCCTTAAAAAGGAACCAGGATTTGGATTTGACCGGCAATCTGTGATGCATGGCTTCCGGGTTGCTTCTTTAATATGTTTTATGGAATTGGTCGCCCAAACATGGTCTGATTGATCTGATTGCTCACTTTCCTGGGAGGAACGATGGCTTGCAGCCAAAATTTTGCTGCGTCGAAGAAGGGAAACATGGAAATGTCATTTGTCTACTCTTGTTAAATGCTGGTTTCGAGAGACTTCGAACATGGAGAAAGTGGAAGCATAGATTGCAAGATCACAGCCTGCTGGAGGAATTTGACAGTCCTACAAACATTATATAGGTATGTCGATGATGTAATGCTATACGCGGAGAATTTACCTATACTGATGAAGATGTTGATGTTGATATTAAGCATTTCCGAGTTTGTGTGCGTTGTCCGTATGTGAATGCTTCCCAAACAATGATTTTGACGGCCAATTGTGCGTCCACACCTTCTTGTGGCGGGTGAGTATATTGAATTTTTTCATGCTGGCAGCAAACCTAAATACCTTCGATTTTTTGACACCACTTTCAGTTTCTTTCTGTTCGTTTGGCATCATCTTCCAGGAATTCCAAGTGTTGGCGGGTTGATCAACGAAAAAACTCAATTGAAGCAAGACCCGTGGCAAAGGAAAAACATCGAAATTCATGAGCCTCTTCCTGCTGAAGCACCAATCTGTGAGTCCCTGACGAGAGCGGGTTGTGCATCAAGTTTGACTCCGAAAGCTATTTCATGAAATGTCTAAAACTTTCCCACAAACTTTTCATGCCATAAACTGGCCGTCCAAAAACCCTCCCCCGTTCTCCATGAACCGCGTTGCGCAGCTCTTCTATCTTGCCTCGCGCGGCCTGGATGCAGCAAACGCACGAAGGCAAGAGGGGGATTCTGGTGCCTACCACGTAGGGAATGGGGGAATGGGATGATAACGTTTGTTCATAGTTTAGGATATTTAGGATCATTCCCCCATAACAAAAAGCACCAGGAAGTCTTCTGACCACAAAAAGTGAGGTCAGGTTGAGGTGGTTTCGCCCACAGATATGATGGGATACATACCAATATGAATGATGGCTGTGTCTGAAAATTGGTTCTTACCCAAAAAATTATGGCCATACATGGCTCTGAAATGCCGAAAATGATGATTTGCCCTTGAATAAGCGATAGATCTCTATGTTCAGACACACCCAGATGTTGAACAGAGTTGCTAAGCATCTTGCAGTGATGTGATTCGATTTTGTGGGTTCTATTGGTTGGTTCCCATGGGGTATCCGAACGACGTGACCCATCTTGACCCGTATTTGTCTCAAAACATCTCAAAAAGAAGCGTGGCTCGATGGGTCGTAAGTTGTAATCATGTTCCCACATGTTCCGACTAAAATTACCTAAAATGGGGGATCCCTCATGATCAGACACTCAAAAGACCGGTTAAGGGCTGCTGGTTGATGGGCAATTTGGAGTTATACGAACTGCTTTAAAGGGTGCTCTGAAATCATGCGTATAGATGGATTTAGTCAGAGATAGAGCTATAGGTAGATATTATATATTATATATGGGAAGGAAAACATCAAGATATCAACCAACCCGCAGGTTGCCTGTTGATACTGTTGTTCCGGTTTTACTAAGTGCTTTCAGTAGGAGAATGGACTGATCCAATTCGGGGAAGAAAGATTTGATCACCTTCCTGCTCCAGATGGATTGAATGATGATAGAATGACTGGTGCTAAACGTATGGAATGGGGGAATGAATGATCCAATCCATAACTACATATATCTACCATAACTATGAATAACTATGAACAAACATTATCATCCCATTGCCCCCATTCCTTACGTGGTAGGCACCAGAATCCCAATGGAAATTTCAGGGACCCGGCGAGGAACAGGCTGGGATTATATACTGATATGCCATTAAAATATAGGAATAGAGACTTATATGCCATATATTTATATCTATATGCATATATATATATGTATGACATATGTATATATATATATCATAAGCCACGAATTGATGACTTACCTCAGTTTTTCGGGCCTGTCCTTGATCAGCCGCTGGCGGCAGGCTGATGCTCAGCGGCTTCCCCATGGATTTGCTCGAGGGCTTGAAGGTGTATTTGAGAAATGGCTGATGTGTGTGTGTTTGTTTTTCTGAATGCGTGTACGTATATATTATGTTCCAAATAGATATACAATGTTACATGTGTATCTGATATGTATGTAATGTAATGTAATGTGATGCAATGCAATGCAATCTAATGTAATGTAATGTAATGTACGGTAATGCATGGTAATGCATGGTAATGCATAGTAATGCATGGTAATGCATGGTAATGCATGGTAATGCATGGTAATGCATGGTAATGTATGGTAAGGTATGGTAATGTATGGTAATGTATGGTAATGTATGGTAGTGTATGGTAGTGTATGGTGGTGTATGGTAGTGTCTGGTAATGTATGGTAATGTATGGTAGTGTATGGTAGTGTATGGTAGTGTATGGTAGTGTATGGTAATGTATGGTAATGTATGTAAATGCATGTAAATGCATGTAAATGCATGTAAATGCATGTAAATGCATGTAAATGCATGTAAATGCATGTAAATGCATGTAAATGCATGTAAATGCATGTAAATGCATGTAAATGCATGTAAATGGATGTAAATGGATGTAAATGGATGTAAATGGATGTGTATGTATGTGAATGGATGTGTATGTATGTATGTACGTATGTGTATGTATGTATGTACGTATGTGTATGTATGTATGTATGTGTATGTATGTATGTGTATGTATGTATGTATGTATGTATGTATGTATGTGTATGTAATGTAATGTAATGTTGGATGTAAATGGATGTAAATGGATGTGTATGTATGTGAATGGATGTGTATGTATGTATGTACGTATGTGTATGTATGTATG